GTCAGTCAGGGTTGTATCCTTTCACTGTACTTAGTCAATGTGTATGCTGAGCAAATAATCACAGAAGCTGGATTATGCAAAGAACAACATGGCATCAGATTTGGAAGAAGACTCATTAACGACCCAATCAAAGACTTTACCCTTCAGTATGGATGACATCTCAACACAAAGAAAAGAGAAATCCTCACAACTGGACCAATAAACAGCATCATGAGAAACAGAAAATATCGATGTTAAGGATTTTATTTTACCTGGAGGCACAATCAACGCCCATGGAAGCAGCAGTCAAAAAATCAAACAACACCCTGCATTGGGGAAATCTGCTGCAAAAGACCTCCTTAAAGTGTAAAGAAGCAGAGATGTCACTTTCAGCACTGTTGTTGTTGTTAGGTGCCGTCGAGTGGCCTCTGGCTCAGAGCAACCCTGTGCACAGCAGAACGCAACGCTGCCCGGCCCTGTGCCAGCCCCACGGTCCCTGCTATACCTGAGCCATTGTCACAGCCACTGTGTCAGCCCATCTCGTTGAGGGCCTGCCCCTCTTCCATGGACCCTCCACTTTACCGAGCATGCTACCCTTCTCCAGGGAGTGGTCCCTTCTGACAACATGACCAAAGTAGGTGAGACGAAGTCTGGCCATTCTTGCTCCTAAGGAGCATTCCAGCTGTACTTCCTCCAGGACAGATTGGTTAGTTCTCTTAGCAGTCCATGGTACTTTCAGCATTCTTTGGCAGCACCACAACTCAAAAGCTCTGACTCTTCTTTGGTCTTTCCTATTCATTGTCCAGCTCTCACATGCATATGAGGCGATTGAAAACATGGCTTGTGTCAGGCGCACCTTAGTCTTCAAGGAGACATCTTTGCTCTTTAGCACTTGAAAGAGGTCCTTTGCAGCCAATTTGCCCAGTGCTATATGTCATCTAAGGAGCTCTGGTAGCATAGTGGCGAAAAGCACTTGATTGCTAACCAGAAGGCTGGCGGTTCAAACCCACCAGCCACTCCTCGGAAGGAAGGTTGGGCAATCCTACTTCCGTACTGATACTGCCTCGGAAACCCAAGGAGGGGTCGCTATGAGTCAGGGCTGACTTGACGGCACATAACAACAACAACAACAACAACAACAACAACATGTCCTGACTGCTGCTTCCATTGGCGTTGACTGTAGAACCAAGAATATGAAGTCCTTGACAACTTCAATCTTCTCTCCATTTATCGTGATGCTGCTTATTGGTCCAGTTGTGAGGATTTCTGTTTTCTTTATGTTGAGGTACAATCCATACTCCAGACTATAGTCTTCAATCTTCATCAGTAAGTGCTTCAAGTCATCCTTACTTTCAGCAAGCAAAGTTGTGTTGTCTGTGTATCACAGAACATGTTGTTGTTGTTATGTGCCGTCGAGTCGGACCCGACTCATAGCGACCCCTCCTTGGGTTTCCAAGGCAGTATCACTACAGAAGTAGATTGCCCCATCTTCCTTCCGAGGAGTGGCTGGTAAGTTTGAACTGACAGCGCTTTGGTTAGCAGTCAAGTGCCTTAGGCACTATGCTACCAGAGCTCTCACAGAACATATTGCAGGTTGTTAATGATTCTTCCTCCGATCCTGATGCCATGTTCTTCTTCATATAGTCCAGCTTCTCAGATTATTTGCTCAGCATACAGATTGAATAAGTATGGGGAAAGGCTTTTAGCACTAAGGTGTGCCTAATCCAAGCTACAGCATTTTCAGTCATCCACAGCATATGGAAGCTGGACAGTGAATAAAGACGACTGTAGAATCGATGCCTTTGAATTGTGGCATTGGTGAAGAATATTAACTATACCCTGGATGGCCAGAAATCTTTGACAACTTCAATCTTAGAAGCAAGGATGGCAAGACTTCGTCTCCTGTACTTTGAACATGTTCTCAGGAGGGACCGGTCCCTGGAGAAGGACATCAGGCTGGTTAGAAGGTCAGTGAGAAGGAGGAGGCCCTCAGTAAGCTGGATTCACACAGTGGCTGCAACAGTGGGCTCAAACATGGCAAAATTGTGAGGCTGGTGCAGGACCAGACCAAACCAAAGCACACTCCCTGCCTGCCAGTGGGTCTCAACTCCCAGCGACCCCTCCTTGGGTTTCTGAAGCAGTATCTCTACAGAAGTAGATCACCCAGTCTTCCTTCCTGGTAGGAGTTTTGTTCTGTTGTCCACAGGGGGCTGTGAGTCCCAACCGATCCCACTGCACCTAACAACCACTTTGAACATCTAGGGAGGCAATGACGTTTGCAAAGCCTGGAATCTGCTGGTGGAGCGCATGGCCTGCTGCCTCCCCTATCGGACAGTGAACGACCTGGCTTTCCCTTCAGTGTGGTTGTCTTCAATCCCGCCACCTGGACCGGAGTCTATTGCCCCCTGGCGGCGCCAAGGCGATGGCCGCGACGAGATGGCGCGGAGGCCCGACGGCTGTGACTCAGGCGGCGCCACTGCCAGGGGTTCCGTCGTGGGCCACGACGCGGCGCGACTAATTGTCAGCTGCTGGGAATCCTTGTCGCCCGCTCGCGGTGACTCACCGGGCAGCCAGGCTCCCTCGCCGAGCGCGGGGGCCTGCTTCCCCAAACGAATTCCGGGGAGAGCGCCTGCGCTGGGCTTGGGCTCTCCGCCCCGTGCGCTGGGGCGCCCCAGACCCGCCGAGACCCCCAGCCAGGGCGCCTCTCATTGCGCGGGAGCCCCTTCTCCGGCCAAGAGCACCAACACTCGCGAGCCCCCGAAATCGGTGGTGGTGGTGGGGTGTAGGGTACCAGTCCTGGAGCCTTGGGATTCCTGGCTGCGCCCTGGTCTGAGTCCTTGCGGACAGGGAGCCCGAGCTCGACTCGAGGGGGCGGACTGGAGGGCCAGGGCTCCCAGAGCCTTCGAAGCGCGCGAGGAGTGAGCAGTGGTGCTCAGGCCGAGATGGGACGGAGAGAAAAACCACCGTGGCCTCCTCTCGGAACGCAATAAATAGCTGCGCTTCGGTCCCAGCCTCGTCTTCTTCCCCAAGGCTCGCCCCCAAAGGGGCCATCGCGCAGTGTGGGGAGCCGGGCAGGGGCTGGGCTGTGGCCAGAGCGCACCTGCTTCCAGTCTCAAGGAACCAAGGGGTGTGTCTCAGAAAAGAAGCAAGAAGGGAACAGGGGAGGCGGGATGCCAGGGCTTCAGTATCCTGGCTTCCGTACCCTGATCCCAAGGGGGTGGCTTGGCCCGCGTCGCTCGCAGGGGCTGAGGCGGCTCTCCGGACCCTACTACGCGGCGAAACAGACAACGGTGGCTCCAGCCAGTGACTAGAGGCTGTACCAGGTGGCTGGCCCCAAGGGGTATCGCGTGGCCGGCGCCGCCTCTGCTCCCCCAAGCGTCCACAGTTCCCCCCTCTCTGTTCCCCGCTCCCCGTCCGACCTTCCTTCTTCCTTCCCCAGTCCGTCTACCTTCTCTGGCTGAGTCCCTGTGGCCTCCCCCAGCGCTCCATGTCCCGGAAACTCGCCACCTGGCGCAACTGAGGGCGCTCCGGGGGAGCCAGGCTAGAAGGACCCAAACAGCTTCATTTATCCCCCACCCTCGCCACTGAAATCGGCCAGTGGCTCCGCCCCCGCCCCCTCCCGGGCCGCCACCCGGTGCTCCAGTGCTCCTCGTCCTCTCTCCAGTAGCTGCCGCCGCCCGGCTCGGCTCGGGCTCCCTCCGCGTGCGCTCTGCGCCGCGCTCGGTCTGCAGCGGGAGCCGCGGCAGCCGCCTCGCCAGCTGGCTGAGGACCAGGCGGCAGGCCGCGCGCCCTGGAGGCTGCGGGAAGGAGGGAGGGAGGACCGTGGGCCGGGCCTCCGCGTAGCCCGGCCCCCGCCCCCCGCGGCCCTCCCGCCCGAGCAGGGCTGCCACGCGCGCTCACACACACACGCACACACACACGCACACACACACACACTCGGGCTCCCTCCGGCGCGCACGCACGCAGCGCCCCGGGCAGCCCAGCGCTGCGGCCGCCTCCCCGGACGCCTGGACACCGGAGGGCCCGGACCCAGGCGCGGCTCCTGCGCCCGCACCAGCCC